AAATGAAACGATAGCATGCAAGCCTGGCTTAATGAGAAAGCACTGGAGTGTAAAAGAGGCTGTACTTCATTCATCCACATATATAAAAGCCTTCAAGAACTCCCTCCCTCCCTCTCTCTCTCCAGGACGTACCATGGCATCTAGACCTTTCAAAGACCTCTTGTTATTCACTCCCACCACTGCAGGTCTCTAAAAACAAACAACACAAAACCCACTGCCATCCCGTCATACCAACTTATCATGACCCTACAGGGCAGAGCAGCACCGCTCCTTTCAATGTCTGAGACCCTTCATCTTTAGGGAAGCAGAGAGTCTCACCTACTTCCTGAGGAGTGACTGGTGGATTGGAACCGCTAACCTTGAAGTGAGCAGCTCAATGGGTAATCTGCTACAGCACCCAGGCTCCTCCTGAAGCCTCTAAGATGCCTCCACTACCAACAACTTGCCACAGGCTTGTTCAAAGTTCTCTGTCTGGCTCTCTGGGAGCAAGGCTCACACGCCGCCTTTGTAAAGCCTTCCTCTCTGAACACATCCCTTCTCCTGACAGAGATCACTTGGCTCTGAGCTGCAAGTGTCAGCATCCAGCCAGTCAACTCACATGTCAAGCCCAGAGAAGACCAGAGGACTTGTCCACAAAGAACTTACTGTCTACTGGGGGAGACCAAAGCAAATTAACACAAGTTGACAAAAGGATTAAGGAGGAAGTAGAATGGTGGGCGAGCCCACACAGCTAGGTGGAGATGTGGGACACTGGCTTTGTGGATGGTATGGAAGGCCTCTCTGCGCAGGGGACACTGAAATTGGTAGCAGATGGAGGAGTAGGATTTGACTAAGAGAGAGGAGACACGAGTCCAGGCAGGCAGCACAACGCTTGACAAAGCTGTGGTGCCAGCCTCACTCGAGGGGCTGGGCTTGGGGAGTGGTGTGAGGAGGCCAGCCTTTGGGTAGGTACTGATCGGTAGATTTGCTTCACCATCCTGAAGGTCAAAGTACAATTTCCAAGGGTTAAGTAGTTTCTTGGCCGTTTTTTTTTTTTTTAAACAATTCAGAGGTGAGAAGGTAACATGGTAAGACCACGCTACCCCGCCATGTACCTCCCCTGATGAATCAGCCACTGGCCTGACCCACAATTCTATCCTTTTTTTCTTTTCTTTTTTCTATCCTTTTTTTCAATCTTATTTTTTCCCCTATCCATTTAAAGAACATACATTTCTTCAAATCACTCTTGTAACTCTGCCTTCTGCATAATGGACTTGGAGTGAATTTAGACCATTTTTGAGGCTAAACCAAGCTACGGTTTTTTTACTCTTCCTGAAAGGAGTGTAGAGAGCTTCTGTATTCAAGGGCATCTCACAAGGAAACATAAATCAGAATTTTTTGCCTAAGACACATATGCCACTGTCTTCCTTAAGTTTCTTGTTATAAAATGTTTTTAGTAAGTCATCTACACCTACGCCTCACTTGCCAACTATTATCTGACAGGCCACATTTACAATGGTGAAAAATCTGACCCACTAGTTTGCACGTCAAAGGCATAATGTCTGGCAGTATAAGGCCCTAAGGTAGGAGGTTAAGAGTAAGGCTGGCTGTGACGGTGAAGGGAGAGTGGTCGTTTGATTGGGAGTTATCTAATGATGTGGTCATCCTCCAGTTTTTTGCAATGTTGATTCTCAAGTAACCACCTGGTTTTGGAAACCTAGTTATGAGCCAGGACTCAAGAAATAATTAAGGGTTCGCATCTTTCTATTGAGGCCCAGGATTTTCCTAGCTATGGTACCATCCAGACTGGTTTCCAGTAGGGCGCAAGTTATTTGTAGAGACCTCTAAACACTGGGCCCCATCACAACAATGGCCCCATCTGAACATGTCTGCTCTGGGCCACCCACTGTGCTTGTTACTTTGAATGTGTTTCTGTCCCTCACAATGGCCCTGTAAGGTACAGACTTTGACAGACAAGGGCTCGCAGGCTCAAAGGGGTAAACTAAATTGCTCATGGTCACACAGCCAGTAAGCAGTGACACAACCAGAATCTCTCACTCTTTCCACACAGCCCCTACTTGTAAAATGGGGTGCACAGCCACCCCGATGGGCCAGGGCAGGAGAAACCACAAGGCAAATATGTGGGCTTGTTTTCAGTGTTTTGTTTTTCTCCTGTGGTAACATGAGCTGTTCTTGTATTTTAAAAAAATATATTTTATAGGAGAACGTATACTCAATTTAAATGTAAAGGAATTTTAAAGAACACATTACAGAAAAAAAAAAAAAGAACACATTACAGCAATTCAAAGGAACGTGCCTGTTGGCCAGGCTGCTGCCTCAGCCACTTCAGGAGGAAGCATGAGAAGAAGCAGGGATTTGTCACTTGGCCTACCTTCACTTTAGCCCCCGTATCCTTGTTGCTACATTTGAAAAAAAAAAAAGCGAACATTTTGACTCAACCTTCATTTTCCCACCCACCCCCTCCTCTCCCTAGACAAAGGAAAACGCTCAGAGCGCAGTGTGTCCGCAGCAAGCTTGTCGTTTTCAAAAGCGTTCGTCATTTATGAGGACATCGCTTTGTAGGTACAATAAATTTGATTGATCTTTATTACACAGCTTAGTTTAGAATCACTTTTACATTCCTAGACAAAAGAGATGATACAAATAAATAGCAATTGTAAAACTTAGAGCCCCAAGTCTTGGCATATTCTTTGTCTAAAGGCAGCCAAAGAGAAGATCAAGATCGATGGTAGAAACTCGAGGAGCCATAAAGCCCACTGCCCCAGGCTCACCCCTGTGCGAGCGTCAAACGCATTTCATTTCAGAAACAAGGGCCCGGGAGGAAGGTGGCAGAATTTCCAATCGTACAAGACAAAGCCTTGCCCAACCGGCAATAGCCAGGCCGCCTAGTCTTATCCGGTTCCCTCTAAGCATTTGCCTTAGGCTTTGATAGCCTCCATTTCATCTGCTGATGGTGTTCAGATGGTCCAAGGTGTTGTTCGCTGTTGAGTCTTGACATCGTGTGGGAAACCTGAGGCAGAACTGATACCCCAACATTCAAAAGGAAGCGACACTTCGCAGAAACTTGGCAACAAGTCTACATTCAGTGAGGGAGGACTTACAAGAGTCAGACGGGAGAGCAGAGAGAGGCCCAGGCCTGCGCTGCAGAACCCTCTGGTGCCCGTGGTCAGGGAGGTGTGGGTGGAGCGATTCAAGCAGCATGCAGGCATTCCGTGGGGAACAGTCCAATGTTTGGTCAGTCTTGAAAAGTGCTTCCGGCCTATGATTTGTGGCCTTGGGTTCTGAATCCAGGGGTCTGGGGGACTTTCAGTCCAAAGTCAGATTGGTTCCTACTGAGCAGAGCAAGCAGGGGTCACACAGAGTCACACCCGCCTTCTCCCAGCTACTCTCCTTCGAGTCTGCAGACTAGCTTCCAGACTCTAGTCGCCGCTGCTGAAGGCCCTCAGATGGCTTGGAACATGCCAGTGTGACTGCAGACATGGAAAGCTGGCCCCTCGGGGCTTGCTCGGTCCTTTACACACCTGGCTCAATTCAGAACCCTAAGCAGCAGCTTTCTGGCAACAGTGAGGCATTCTACCGTCTCCTCTCGTCAAATATTTATTGGATCCATTTTGAAAGAAGGAAAGCACCAGAGCCTGCTCTCGAGGGGCAGCTTCATCGGCCTGGTGTCCTCCGACGGCGTTTCCACTAGGAGATAAGCCCGACGAAGGACAAGGCAGCCTGGTCTTTACATAACCTGCCAACTGGACTCTCTTCTGTCATCTTAGGAAAGTTCCACAAGCCGTTCTTCAGCCAGAGTAGCCACCTCGAGGCAGCAGTGTTTAGGGCTAGGGCTAGGGCTAGCTCCAGTTTTCAACTCTCAGATGAACGACAACAGATATTTTCAACCTACTCCACTTGGACTAGTTTGGAGGAAATCTAGATCTGGGCATAGCACACAGATAACCATCCCAAGGTTCCACACCTCCTCTCCAATAGGCAAATCACAAAGAAGCCAGGCGTGCCCCCACAAGAAAAGATGAAAGGCGGTTCTGGAGACTGCCAAAAGGGCCTCTGGCTCAGAACAAATGGTTACAGAAAGAGGGGAGGAGCTCTTGCGAGAAGACAGCTCTCCACTGTGGAGAATGCTTAGACATTGCACTTGTGTATTTCACATCCTCTTTCCCCAGGTTCCCATCCAGACACAGGCACAATCCAACCCAAGGCCCACCTGAGCTGCCATCTTGCTGAGGCACCATGCCAGCAAGGCACGCCAGCGTGGCAGACCTGGGGACTCACACTGCCCCCACCTCAGGTTTGGCTTGTGGGCTCAAGATGTCCACAGGGGAGCCCTTCCAACCTGGGTCAGTCACTCAACGGGCCTTGAATACAGGCAAAAGGCAGCAACCATGCACTCGTGTATTTCTCAACTGGGGCAAGTTCTTGGGTCTTTCTCACACACAGACATACCTGGACACACTCACCGAACACAGGCTTGCATGCCCAACCCACACACACTTGTGAGCTTCTCTTGGGGGAAAAAATGAGTACCGTTCAACTACTGACCAACATAAAACAAAGCTTTGAATCTCAGTTATACGAAGAACTAAAACTTACAAACCAAACTAGTCTATGTAAACGGGAATTCCTAACTCTTCTCTTCTGAGCCAGTTCCATCCTGCTAGCTGCTCTTCGCCTGCATCCTGGGCCCCACCTGTGGGGAGCCCAGAGTCTTCAACTGGGTGGCTTTCCACTGAGGCAGGCAGGCAGGTGTTCTCTGCTACCCTCTGCTGTCTCCTCTTCCCATGGCACTGAGTCTCTGCGTCTGCCTGATCACCATGCAGACATGGTGCAAAGTGGGGGATTCAAAAGTGCCACCATACCTCTCTTCCCCCAGCTCTAGTCCTGGCAGAGAAGGCAGAGCCAGCCTCCCTCCCCGACAAGACAGGCCCACTTCGGGGCGGCGTTGGTTCCCGGAGGTTGTTCGGGTTTTTTTTGCTTGGGGAGGTTGTTGTTGACCAAGGCTTGAGAGGCACGGTGCCTGCACCGGGCACCGGCTGACAGACGGACGTCTTGGACAGGACAGTCTTGGTTCTGAGGTGGTGCGATGCTGTCCCTCTAAACCCTCCTCAAAGGTGAAGGGAATGGCCTTTCTGGCGCTGCCGACCTCCAATCCTTTGGGAGCAGGAACTAGCAGCTTCCGAGGAAGACTTCTCCTGCTACAGTAGATCCAAAGGCAGCACCACTTCTCGTGGAGGTGGTGGAAGCGAGATGGCGGATCTGCCCACTGGGGGCTTGGATCATTCATATGAGATTCCTCGTTCCTACCTAAGAGAACAAGCACCCATTCAGATTCCAGGGCTTTCCATCTGCAACCTCACTGGCGTTTAATCCTGAGGTTCCAGAGACATGCTCCTGCTAAGGCGACTCCTGGTCTTGTCCTCCTTTCAACAAGAAGGGAGCCCAGTCTGAGAGCAGGCTAGGAAAGGAGGGGGAGGCGGGGCAGGCAGGGAGGGAGAAGAGAACTGAGGTCACTGATCTTCTCTTGCTCTCCACTGCCACCATCGCACATGACCTGACCCCCTGTGTTTCTGAGATGCTATGTAAAAGAGGTTTCCCAGAGGAGCTGGGGGCCAGAGGAGGACGAGCATGTTGCGACCAGACTGGGTCGGTGAGCTGCAAAGAGGCCATCGCTTCTCTTCAGGGAGATGGCTCTGAGTTGGGCTCAAGTCCTCTCTGCAGGCTTTGCTCGTCTCTTCTCTCGGAAGGCAAATGTTGTTTATGCCCCGGGAGAGGAGGAGCTGGCTTTACTTCGGAACCAGCCCCCGAGACTGGGGATAAAGTTGAGATGCAGGTGCTCCTGAGGAAGACGAGGAAGACCCCGACTTCCTTCCACTTTTGGGCCTGCAAGAGTCAAACACAGGTTTACATCACAGGCCCTTCATTTTGGTCCTGACCCAGGTCAAACTCTGTGCCCATCAAGGGCCATTAGCCCTTCAACATAGCCTTTCCTCGCTGGCCGGAAAGCCACTACACTTTCAACTGTAGATGCCGCAGACTGACTCCGCCTGCCCACACGGCCTGCCAACGAGAGAGTGAACACTCAGGGCAGGGACTCTGATGCTCACTCAGCTCTTGTCAATTGGTTAAAATCAAATCTCGAAAGCTTCTTGAAATTGGTCAATTAAAAATAAGTCAAGTATGCAGGCAGAATTCTTTCCATTTTTGGCTTTCCACCCAGCTCATTTTAAAAATCCAGAAATTTGAAAGGTGGAGCTTCTCAGGAAGCATCAAGTTAAGCACCAGGCTGTTTTAATGGGCAAGGGACTGTCAGCACCGAGGCCGCGAAGCTGTGGCTCTATGCAGGCCCATGTTCGAAGCCTGGCTCTGTCAGCTGACTAGCAGGGCTTCCTGGGACCCACCTCATTTCTCTCATGCTCTACGACTTGGGTTTTCCAGCTATGAAACAGAATCGATAATACTATGCATAAAATTTTCCAGAAACTCAGGAAGAGGGCTCTTTTAATGGCCCCTGGTACGAGGCCACATTTCTTACAGGCAGGAACTGGGCGCTTCAGGTATTCTGGTGTTCAATACAGCTGGCAGAGTGCCTGTACCATAAATATTTGTGGAGTAAGTAAGCAAACCCAGGTGTACTATGGCCACACTTCCTGGTACATTCTACAAAGTGTCTCAGGATAAACAAGCACTCTTGGCACCCTCTGCCTTAGTTTGCTCGTGTTCCAACATGTTCTATTCAAATACAGACAATCAAAAGCCACCCACCTGGCCTTGGATTTCTTATTTGCAGTGCTTTCAAAGGAGGAGGCATCCACCTGAATCTCATCTTCATCCTGCAGTGCCGCATCCAATGCGGCCTGGACTTTGGGGGCAATGGCAGGGCCCTCGTAATCCCTGGTGGTCCGGCTGGGCATGTCCAGCTCTAGCAGTACGATGTTTTCTGCCTGTTAGGAGCACAGCCATGAGCAATTAGGCGGGACCCCAAGCCACCACAGCATGCAAGCAACCCCCACTTTCTCTCAGAAGTGTCAACGGCTTGCCCTTCCAAGAAACAACAAAAACAAAGTCAAACTCATGCCGTCGAGCGGTCTCCAACTCATCTTCCCCCTTGAGGATGGGGCAGTGACGCCTCTGTGGGCGTCTGAGACAGTAACTCCCCACAGGTGCCTCATCTTCCCCCTCAGAGTGGCTGGTGGTGAACTGCTGATCTTGTGGTAAGCAGCCCAATAGGGCTCCTCATAGGCTACTCAGAGCCTACCAAAAGCTTGCCAAGAAGTGATGGCGCTTTATGATTGTTCCCCCTTGTGGGGTTATAGATGATTTTTATGTTTTCTCTATATTTTCCTTTAAAACACTAACCCCCCACACACACATAAAATGAGCATGTATTATAGCCTAAGAGAAATCAGGGAAGAATGACAAATGAAATGAAACTCATTTACAGCAGACAGTATGAAAATCCAGAAAGGTTATGAAAAGAATCCAGCAGTCACCCATCTCCTCCATCACTGCTACCAGGCCTGGTGAGCGTTTCAGTGGCAGAGGGGAGGAGGCAGGGCTGTTGTGTATGGATGGCGGGTGTACGCAAGAATAGCTCTGCCTCCTATTTGGCCTTGGAAACAATGTCCTTCACTTGGAACCAGTGTGAGCCTTCTCCCAGGAAGGAAGAACACCGTGGCTTCACCTCAGGTCCGCAAGTCTCAGGGGTCCCAGGGGAGGCCACTGCAGGGAGGAGACAGGGAGAGGGAGCAGCTCCATTTCTCTCTCTGTATAGTGGAACACTATAGGAGCCTTGGTGGCACCGTGGGCTAGCCATTGAGCTGCCAACAGCAAAGTCAGTGGCTCAAACTCACCAGTCACTCTGCATTAGAAAGGTGAGGCTTTCTACTCCCATAAAGCTTTGCAAATCTCGGAAACTCAAAGGGGCAGTTCGACTCTGTCCTCTTGGGTCACTAGGCACTGGAATCAAGTTGATGGCGGTGAGTTACATTGGGATGATATGTATAGTTTCTCTCGTGTCCACTGCTTTAGATGCTACCAACCTTTAAATCACGTCCCCAAACCTAAACCAAAAGCTTTTGCTGTCAATTCTGGATCACGGCAACCCTACGGGTCTTGGGAGAACTGCTTTATGAAAGCAGACTGTCACGACGTTGTCCTGTGGAGCGGCTGTTGGGTTTGAACCTCCGACCTTCTGTCTGGCCGCCAATCATCTAACCATTGTGCCACAAAGGATAAGCCTGTGGGCTTAAAAACCATGTTTTGGGCTCAAGATATAATCAATGAACTGTGTGCTTCTGAAATTTCTAGGAAAATGCTACTTCGGCTTCAGATACACCACTCACATACCCCCTTTTCAACAGCCCACCTAATGCATTGTTTTGCTTCGGCTTTATATTAAATAACTTCATGACAAAAAAGAGCAGCACCTGCGGAGCTAACTTATGCCCAGCTTTCTGTTCTGGCTGCCAAGGAAGAGTCAGAAACATTCATCTTTAAGTGAAAAGAAAAATAATACAGGTTTCCTGTGAATTGTAAGGAAATAGAGGTATGGAGAAAGAATATTTATAGGGAGTGTACCTCTATCAAGAAGGCCAGGTTGCATAATGGTTACACACTGGGCTGCAATTCACAAGGTTGGCAGGTCAAAACTATTAGCCGCTCCTTGGGAGACAGATGGGGCTTTCTATTCCTGTGAAGGGTTATGATCTCAGAAACCCACAGGACAATTCTACCCTGTTCTATAGGGCTACTATGCATTGGCATGGGACTCGGCAGCAATGAATTTGTTTGTTTGTTTGTTTTGGGGGGGAGGATTTCCACCAGATGAGAGAACCAGCTCACATTTCAATTTGTTTGCCCAGATATTTGAATTCATCTATACACATCTGGCACAAATTGTTCTACAATGTGCTTTTTGACTTAACCCTGTACATCTCCTGGACCCCCCATGTACCAGCGAGCTTCAGGCCAGACTGCAGACGAGAGGACAGAGCCCACAGTGAGTGCTCAGGAAGGGAAGTGCTCACGGCATCAGCACAATATTTGGGGGCTGCTAAATGTTCTCAATTGTGGCCCTTTAAATAGATGCAGTTAAGATGCTAAATGGAAGCACTGTATTGCTTTAGCACACTTCCATCTCCGGTCTTGACACTGGTCACTGGTGAGTCCATTCAGACTCAGGGCAGCTCCGTGTGTATCACAGTAGGGCTGGGTTCCCTGGGACTGTCTATGGCTTATTTTTCTAAAGTAGACCAACCACCAGGTCTTTTTCCTGAGGCTCCTCACAGTGACTTAGAACTGCCAACTGTTTAGTTGGCTGCCATGATCATTCACTGCTGCACTACCCAGAGACTCCCCCTTGTTGCTCGATTCTGATTCATGGTGACCATGTGCGCAAAGTAAAACTGCTCTGGAGGCTTTTCAAGGCTGTGATCTTTCAGAGATAGATGGCCAGGCTTATCTTCTGAAGCTCTCTAGATGGGCTCGAACTGCCAACCTTTCAGCTAGTTGTTGTGTGCAAACCATTTGTGCCACCCACCCAGGGGCTCCTCTCTGTCACCACACAGCTACCTTCCCACAGTCTCCCCAGAAGCTCACTGTTAATATGTACTGACCATGATGGACATGAGAATCCCTGGGGGTGCAGGGCTTTGAGTTAAGCATTGAGCAACTAAACACAAGGTTGTCAGTTCAAATCGACCAGCCATTTCAACAGGAGAAAGACGAGGCTGTCTGTTTCCATTAGAATCCAGTCTTGGGAACCCTAAAGAGCAGTCCAACTCACGGCAGTGGGTTTGGTTTGGGGTTTATTATACAGAGACAGGGTATTTGGAAGGAGCCCTGGTGGTGTAGTGGTTGTATATTCAGCTTCGATCCACAAGGTCAGCTATCGATTCGAGATCACTATTCACTCTACAGGAGTCTCAGAAATCTATGAGGGCAGTTCTACCCTGTCCTGTAGGCTCACAGGGAGTCGGCATCAACTCACTGCAATGGCAGTGAGTATCTGAGTGTGTTTGCGTCTCCATTCCGAGTTCTGATTTTCCATGTCTCATTCTAGTTTACCCTTTTACCTACGTATTTTTCCATTATAAACCACCTCTGGAGAGAGAAAAGGTACAAACAAACCTGACTTTGCAGAAGCGTGCCTAAGGGTTTACAGAAATCTAAATGCCTCCCTGAGAGAAGGGAGAAAGCTCACCCGGTACCGGGCCTCAGGGCGAATCATCATGGACATTCGGGCATGCTGGCTCAATGGCCTCTTGTAGCCCACGGCGGAGGCTGGCCGCTTCATCATCTGCTGGTTCCTGAAAAGGGACTGCAATGGTTAAAGGCCTGGCTGCAGGGCGGTCACAGCTGAGCTCAGCTGAGCTCTGGAGCCTCTATCAGATGAACCAAAAGCCAGACAGAACTTCCCTGCACTGAGGGCAGACAGAAATGGGACAGGGGCTGCTTATCTTTACTGGTCGGATGGCTTTCAGATGGATTCAAAGTATAAACATCATGGGTGTTTTTATCTAAAAGGGCGTTTAGTTCCCTACCCCCACTCCCCCCTCCAATCCAGTTCCTACAGGGCACACACCAAGTATGTCTGTCAGCACCCCAGACTCGGGCACCCTTGGCAGGAATCTCCCATCTTTTCAGCACCTGAGGATCCTCAGCCCTGTGTCCCACTAGACCTGACACCCAAGGTGACACCTGACACCCAAGGTGACAATTTGGGAAGTGCCATTAGTTCAATAGTGCCAGCCTCCAGTTCCTGATACGGCGTCATGACCAGACTTCGACCTCAGGGGGCCCCCCCGTGGCAGCCCTAATGCTGAGAAATGAGGTTGGTTCTGAATGTCAATGACTCAAACAGTGCTGTGGCCAAACACCGCTGATCACCATGTCCAGCTGATCAGCAGCCTCTCTCTCTTCTTAAATCGCCCCCTTCTCTTTCCTCCCCCAATTTTCCTACTTAAAGTCAACAGTGACTTACTCCAGCCTGGTGATAGGATGTAATTTCCAATGATCTTCCTCTTCATCAAAGAAGGATCTATTCATAATTTTACTTTTTTCTTCCAGAGGGATGAAGTTTTCTATAATAAGATGCCTGTAAGATACATATACATGGGTGAACACAGATGGAGAAGAAGGCTTAATTGGTCAGTGGTGGCTACCTGGTGACCAAAGCTATGAGTGAGGAGGTAAATGTTAAGCTGCCCAGCAAACATACCGAGCAGGTACTGTGGGCATAACATCACACCAAGAGCTGGGATTCTGACATGCGTGACATCCCATCGGTCCCTGCCTGTGACAGAGCGGGTGGTGGTGCTGCTTTGTCCTGAGAATACAGGAGCTGCAGCTTGAGGAGGTGAGAAGACCCGTGAGGGTTGATGCCCAGAGCTACACTGAACACCTGCTGATGTGAACACCTTCTGCAGGGTCACTGGTGTTTGGAGTTAAGCTGCCCTCCTCCAACTCTGTGGATCAGTGCCCCAGCTAGAAAGCCTCAGGACTAACCCACTGGGACAAGGGGTAGCGCCTACTGCCTAGCAGCCCGTTAGGGCACTGGGGGCAGAGACAGCTCTTGAGCTGAGTCTCTCCCTGAGATGTGGCCAATGGGGAGCGTGGCAAACAATGAAACTGGAATCCACTGGGCTGTCTCTCCACGGCGCCTACTGTCTCCTGCACCTCTGCATGGATCTTCACTCTTTCAGGGCCTCAGTACAGAGCAACACCCAAGGGTGTCCTGGTGGGAAAGGGGCAAAGCCACCACCTCAGAGCTGGGGGCACTACGAAGAACAGGCTGGATCATTGTTTGTTGAAAGATAAAGCAAAAGAAATGACTTTCTTGTGGGCGGGGAACTTTGAGAGATTAAATGTTCCCTTATTTTGTGACATTTAAGAAATTACTTTTCCTAAGATATATTTGGGTGTTTTAAAGGTTTTACTGGTTATGAAAGGCTCTGCTTACTCATTTGAGAGAAGAAGAGAAACACAATTACCCACTATCCAGAGACAACTACGACTTTGTTCTGATCTCACCCCCCCACCCCCAGTTCCACCAAGAAAGAGGACCCACACAAGCATTTAATTTTAAGGGCTCCTTTCCAAATTTAAAACTCAGTCATAAAAAGATCCCCTTTGAAAGTTACTCTTTAAAGAAAATGCCCAACTAATGATGTGGAAGGACTGGGAAGGGAAAACATTTTGCAACCCGAAAGGAAATCAGGGATTCGGACCAAGGCCGTGGTTAATTACTCGCTCAGTGGTTATCCAGTCAGGCCACACATGACCACCTACGAAGTCCTGAAAAAGACCTTGCCCAGACCTCAGAGGTCGGCAAACTTTCTCTCACAACAGGTTAAAAATTATTCGAGAGTCATAAATATATTTTTACAAATAAATTAAACTGCCATTATCTAAATAACATCCTTTACAATTTTTCGATTTTACTTTAGAGCCACATGCATTTCAGGAGGAACCGTGCATGGCTCGTGACCCGCAGTTTGCCAACCCCTAGGCTAGACCAATGGTTCACAAAATGTGTTCACTGAACCAACAGAAGCCACATCTGGAAGTTGTTGGAAGTGCGCATTCTCAACCTACTGAACCAGACTCTGGGGGGAGAGCTGAGCAATGTGTGTTTAACAAGCCCTCCCTGTGATGCTGATGCCTGCAAAAGTCTGAGAACCACTGGCCCACACCAATGCAATCAGTCTCTGGCGGGAGCCCAGGCAGGCTTCACTGTCTCTCCAAGCTCCTCGGAC